TACCTGGTCTTTATCAAGAATTGACCAACAAATATTCTGCAATGACAAAACTTGTTAGATGTGATGAGAATCTTAGTACAGATATGCCCAATATTTTAGAGTCACATAGTCAGTACTAGAATACACAACACAAAACAAAAAAGGCAAAACTCAAAACCTAAAATTTTTGACAACAATGTTTAGACATCTTTGCTAACAAAGCACATCAGATGGTTGGGCCCCAGTTACCAGGGCCTGTGAAAAGAGCAACTTGTTGGCAAGGCACCTTAGAATAAGTGGATGGAGTAGTAAGCTTAGTAAGTTTAGTTGTAAGCCTAACCTTAAGGGTCAGATGAGACCAAACCTTAACCCATCATGTGGTCAAGATGGCAAAGTCAAGATGGCGAATTTCTGAAAAAATGCAAAGAAAGCCTGAAACAATAGATCAGACCTAGATTGGCTAGCCTGTAAGAGGGAACCTAGAGGGGGGTCCTCAGGACCCAGCCTGCATCGCACTCTTCAGGGTACAAGCCAAAAAGTTGTAAAAAAGAAAGGGAGAGATAAAGAAAGTTGGATATGACTAGCAGAAAGCTAAGAGAGCCTGAACGTTAACAGACTTCTGACCATTAACCAATTGCAGAGGCAAAAATAAGTCTGCAGGAGGCAAGTCTCTTGGATGAAGTCTGGAGAAAGTCTTATGAGGCATTGAGGGACTGAAAAAAATACTAGAGAGCGAGGAGGGTGGAGTCTGTTCGCCATCCAGGAGGGGACCTTTCAGGAGTGTTTTAGTCATTAGGTATACTCCCTGCCTCTTGCCTTTAGTTCTCTGTCTATTTAAAGGGAAGCCAAATGTCTGTACTGCTGGAAATGGCCTAAGAAGTACTAAACTAAGTCCTCCCATAGCTGCTATATAAGAAATATTATTTCTTTGCCCTGCAACAAGTGTTTATGTGCATATAGGAATAAGTGGCCATATGGACAAACTGCTGGAGTTTGACTGGGATATAAAACTCCTGTTTCAGTCTCTCTTAATTTCCATTTTTACCCTTCTTAACAGTTAGTTTGCTCTTGTTTGGCCTTTTCCTTCTAGTATTTAGCTTCATTTTTCTGTTTCTTGACTTTTAAAGATTTTTATATTAACCACTGATTTCCCTTCATCCAGATAAGGAAACTCATATATCTTCAGGTCTAGCTTTTTTCTCTTCCCTCATAGGCTTTTTAAAACTTGTGTTTGGTTAAATCAATATTCAATCACAATATTTACTATTAGAATATCACCTATAGCTAATCCATACAGAAAATTGATTGCACTAGCATTCTGATATATCCTTAAAAAACTGTCATTAATATTTTTTTTTTACTTTTTTTTTCTGCTTTCTAAGTTTTGATCTAATTCATCCCCAGATTCCATTAGAAGTATAAAGTCCTCTGGGAGCAGGGAATGTGGCATAGTGGTAGAGTGCTTGCCTAGCATACATGAGGACTTGGGTTCAATTCTTTGGTACATAAACATAAAATGAATAAAAGAAAAAATGACCACCAAAACTATTTAAAAAATAAAAAATATAGCCAGTAAGCTATGGTTTACTTTTTCCCTTAGGGAGAGTTCCTGGACCTTCTCTCAACCTGCTCCTGTCTCCGTGGATTTTTCTCTAAGCTGACTGTACAGCCAGTGTTCTAGGAGCTGGCTTCTCAGTATTCTGAGAACTCCCTTAGTCTCTTCCTCATCTTGGGCCCAAATGCTCACAATCTATGGTTTACTTTCTCATTTTTTTGGATAATGTCCTTTAGTAGCTTCCTGAAAATGGATGCATGGGCAAAAGGAGGAATAATTTTTACTTTTTCAATGTCAGAGTTACTTAAAATTTGAGGGCTGAGGCTTTAGTCCACATTCAGCTTCCAGTGTGTTCCAATCCACTTTTTAGTGTCTCATTTTTTTTTAACTTAAGGAGACAGCCAAGGATTCTTTGATATTTGAGGAAATTCTCTAACATTGACATAGACAAAAAATAACAACAACATAAGAAAAGTGAGAAGAATGAATCAGAAGAGAAAGTCATATACTCTCACACAACAAAAGCATGAATATATCGTCTTTATATCTGTTGTCAGAAATTTCACAGTGATGTGTCTTGGTCTGAATCTTTTGTCTATTCCTTGTGTTTGTGACCTATTGGTGAACTAATCATCAGGAAGTCATGCCCTACAGTGCTAGGAAAGACTTTCAAAAAATTCCTTCCCTAATATCCTTCCCTATTCAACATGGATATGTAGCAGTTGTAAGATGGTGAAAGAACTTACTGAGACAGGACAGTAAGAAAAAGAAAATGTTTATTATGACCCTGGTATTAGGAAGATACTGCAGCTAGCTAGCCAGCCAGAGGGACACGGCTGCAGCTACGGTGGTATTGATGTGGGTGCAGGTGTTGATTGGCTATCTCTCCTTTTGTGAACCTAGTAGGCACAGAGCAGCTCTGCCCATTTTGTGGGATTGACTTACTTCTTTGTTCTACCTGGTCTGTTTCACATGCCATACCTTCCACCTAGATTTTTTCTTTTTCTCCTTCACATTCTTCCCCCTGCCCCAACAGAAAAACAAACCCAATCCTTGTTCCAGTGGGGCAAATGTCTCATCATGTAATTGCTTCAAGCTTAGTGAGATAGTAGAGCTGTCCCTTCCTGTGTTTGTTGTTCTGGAAGAAGGTTATGGAGTGGTCCTTGGGGACACAGTGGGATCTAATTGAACAACAGAATAAAATCATATGGAAGCCATCCATGTCCTGGGACTAAGAGGAACTAGAGGGTTACACAGTAGGGGATGGAAGCTACATTAGAACATCATTTGTAACTTAGGGCCTAGAGGCAAGAGGAAGAAAAATCTGATTAGAAGGATAATAAAGCTGGATGCATTGACAAAGGGAGGTAAAATAGACAATAGAGGTCTAAGGAAGGGGACAGCCAGGATAACTATAACCAGGGCATGACCCATGAAACGTATCCTTGGGTCATTCTCTAAGTTAGAAGGTTTGATAGGTTAATTTATGAATGTTAGTTTGAACTTGCCCTAATTTATTAACCTAAAAGCTGCAGTCTTTCCTGAGGATAACACAAGATCCACCTTAGGCAGCAGTGAACATATTTAAGGCCTTTTTGGGGGGTAAGACTATTGTCCCTAAATAGTCTGTTTGTCTGTATATCAGTGAGGGTGTGGAGTAGGCTGCCTAGTAAATTGGCTAAAAACAGTGGGCTTTTTTCCAACAAAGGTGTTAGGATAATCATGGATGTGTGATAAGAAATGGAGATTGTGACTGTCCAGTTGTCATCCCCAAACCAGAAGCAGTAGTAGAAACTTAGTTCATGACCTATCTCTTGTATGGTTCCTCAGGAAAAAAAAATATTCCTGGAGAATCGTTACCCAGATGTTAATTTTTTGTATAAAGCAAGTATATCTGAATGTGCAAGGTGTGGATTGTAGTACAAGTACAAGGCATTACCTAGATGACTTTCTTTGATGCAAAGGCACTCATTCTTCAAACTTCTGGGAGCCTAATTGCAGGGGTCTGTAGCTGGGACCTCCCAAATGATTTGCCTTGAGCCAAAGGTTTATCTCAGTGCCACATGGGATTTCAACACCATGTGTTGAACTTGGAATTCCGGAATTCTCTGCGTTAACTGATGAATTAGCAAACCAACTCATTGGTAAAATCCACTGTCCCTTCCTCCTTCTACTTTCAGTGTATCTTTTTGGTTTACCTTGAGTTATAATGGAATCCCCATCCTTCACATTTGAGGTGAGTGGGTAGGGTATAATAATGGCTCCTAGATTTGGTTGTAGGCAGTAGGAGTCACATTTTTCATCGTGTAGACTTTCACTGTCTTTTTGCTGCCTAGGTGGCCCTCACTCCCTTAGGGAATTCTCAGAGCTCAGAGTTCCTATGAGCATATGTCTTCAGAGTCATGTCCTCTCCTTGGATTGGGTGCAAAGCAGTTAAAGGATTGTGTCAATGCAATGACCAAGGGAAGTAAAATAGACAATAGAGGTCCTAGGAAGCGGACAGCTAGGATAACCGTAACCAGGGCATGACCCATAAAGCCATCCTTGGGTGGCTCATTCTCTCAGTTGGAAGGTTTGATAGGTTTGATAGGTGTGTGGGATGAAGAGGACAGATACTTGTTGTAAAGGATTTCCAGCAATTCTCCTTCTTCCTGGGCTCTACCTTCAGAGCTGCTGGTTACCCACAATCATAGATTCTTTGTGAGGGCTCCACATATATTTGTATCTTTGTTTCCCCATACTTATACTGCAGATCACTATGATCTACCAGGTCAGTTACTTATCACTAGTGCACGTGTTGTTTGTTGGGGTCCTGCTGCATGACAAGACACAGTGACATGTATGTAGTGAAAAAGCCTCATGGTGGTCACAAGTGGGGGGGAAAGGAGGGAGGGAAAATCAGGGTCTCAACATGTTCTTCAAGGCCATAACCCAATGACCTACTTACTCTAAGCCCCACTTCCTTAACATTTAGACCACCTCCCAACAGGACTATCAGCTGAGTACTCAATTGTTAACACATGAGCCCTTGGGGTAAACGTAAGATTCAAACCTGGATAATACAAAACAATCTACTTACCTCAATATGCTTAAATTTATCACAGCTCCAAAGTCCATTATGCCAAATAAAATAATATTTTGTGGGTCCTAACTATTAAGTCATAGGCATTTCAAGGGTTAGGAGCTTATTCAGTATTATCATATTAAGTTTCGATAGTACTCATTATCTTTAGTTCTTGTGAAGAATATATATATATATATATATAGAGAGAGAGAGAGAGAGAGAGAGAGAGATCCCAAGGTCATATATATATATATATATATATATATATTTCTTGTTAAGATTATTTATATATGTACAAGAAATGAATGAATGAAGACCTTTCAGTGATACAACACATTTATTTATTATTGGGTCCTTTATGTGTTGGTATATTTGAGAATTTCTTCAAGGAATGTTCACTAAAACTAAAAGGGGGGGGAAACAAGTAAACTTAAAAAAATTAAGTTTAGTGTAGTATCTGGCCCAAAATAAGACAAAGCATGACAACACAGAAAAGCATGAGCTTTTCACCTGCTGTTAGGGGTCTTTGGGGTTCAGGGATAATGTCCTCATGTGAACGAGGTGAGGATCGACAGCTCTTCTGAGAGGAAGGTAGAGATAGGGAAGACTTTGTTTGGTGTTTTAATGAGTCCCTTACAGCAAACCCCACAATGTTGCCTCTGTTAGGAGGCTCATCCAAAGGCACCTCCCAGATAACTAGTATCTCCTCAAAATCATATCCATAGTATACATGCAGGATGTACTGGACAAGGTTTTTCAGAATCCGTGTGACACTTTTTGTAGAGAACTCAGGATTTTCAGATCGCCAGCTGGAGCAATTGTTGCACTTCTGAGCAAAAATCCGCATAAGCACCTGGCCCTGGGATTTCCAAGGATCCAAGTAGAAGTGGCACAGAGTGATTATTTGGGCAGAAGTCCAACTTCGGTTGCACAGTGCACACAAAAACCTGCAGGAAGAAGAACAATTCCACTGGGTCCTTAAGCTGATTATTGACCTGAAGGTCAATGGTCTTGACCTCATCTCTAATAGCCCTTTCAATCTGAAAAACTTCATGTGATCTAGACTGTTACAGTCACCACTCAAAACCAGAAACAAAAGGCTTATGTTTTACATAAAAAAAAACTTTTTCCTATGAAACTGAATCCATCCATTTCTGTATACTACAAGGAAACAAATTTCTACTTAATTACTCACTATGGTAACAGAGAACTTTTTACAAAGTATTTTGAGATAGGCATTTTCATAGCCTTACATTATCTCATGTCATCTTTTTTTTCCCAAAAATTTTTATTGGGAGAAAACTACAAAAATCTCATGTCATCTTTAAAGACATTCCTATAACATAGGCATAATGGAAGTCAATACCCATATAAGAAAATGACTCAAGAAGTATAACAAATTGCTCCAGACAAAGTAGGTAAGTGGTAGAGGCATATTTTTCCAACATATGGTCATTTGATACCAACCCTATTTATCTATCATAGCATCTCACCTCCAGTGAGCAGCATGGCTATTCTTAGACCTAGAGAAAAGAACTAGTCTAGAAGCAATGACACTTGGTTGAAAATCCAAGTCCATGGTTTATATCACAGGACCTTAAGGAAAGCACTTCTCCGTACCTCAGCTTTTAAATCAATAAGAAGGAAATGCATCCTTTATGCATGCATGTGCATGCATGCATGCGTGTTTTTGTGTGTATGTGTGTGAAAGAGAGACAGACAGACAGACAGACAGACAGACAAAGAGATGGCAGAGTGCAAACATACACACACATGCAAGCCAGTATTAGGGCTTGAACTAAGGGCCTGGGGGCTGTCCCTTAGTTTTTCCATTCAAGGATGTCACTCTACCACTTGAGCCACATCCCTATTTCTGGCTTTCATGGAGTTAAGAGTCTCCTACACTTTCCTGTCCAGGCTGGCTTCACCCCTCAATTCTCAGATCTCAGTGTCATGAATAGCTAGACATACAGCTGTGAGCCACTAGTGCTGGACTACAAAATGCTGCATAAAACATGCTTTATATTTTCCAAAAGTGTGCTGCTTTCCCCATCTCAAAAGTGTTATTAGAAGGAACACCTGACATTTTAAAAAGCATTAAAGGACATTATGAATTGCTCACAGAGTTCTGGCTAATATGGAAAGGGACACTTACATGGCTCCTTGGCTTCTAGGGCAGAACAAAGGGACTGCCACTATATGGGCTGACAAGTGACTTGAAACCTGTTCTTTAGAGCAAGAAGAGGTTTCATTTAAAACAAAAGGTTCTAAAGACTAGGGGAGGAGAGGTACGGCTCAAGGGGTTGAGGGCTTGCCTAGCAAGCATGAGGCCCTGAGTACAAGGTAACAATGCTCGATAGGAAATGTACTCATTACCTTACTCATATAAATGTAACCCCTCTCTTTACAATTAAAAAATATATTAAAAAAGAAAGTAAAAAAAAAAGATGATGCTCAGCTAAATGAACCTCAAGATAGGGACACAAGAGGTTTTATCTTTGTTGCTGTTTTTTTTAATGTAGTATGTGTTTTTTTTTGTTTGTTTTGAATGTCCCCCCCCCATGGTATAACCCCTGTTTTCACTGTGTTTGATTACATTTTTCTAATTTGGGGAGGGGAAGGGAAATAACAAAATGCTGAATCAAGGATACAGGTTGATTCATTGTAACGATGATATGTACAGGACACTTTGCCAAAAACAAACTTTACAACTTGGGGGGAGAAGGGAGGAGTTGGGAGGGGATGGATGGTAGGGGAAAAACAAAGGAGGGGGTAGCAATGCTTGATAGGAAATGTACTCTTACTCATGTAACAATAAAATATATATAAATAAAAAATTAAAAAGGAAAATTATGGATCTTGCAGTTAACGTAAAAGTATCATTTATATAATATTTTATCCTTTTTGTGCCATACTAGGGCTTGAAGTAAGGGCCTGGGCACTATCCCTTAGTTATTCTGCCCAAGGCTGGCACTCTACCACTTGAGTCACAGCTCCACTTTCTCCACATTACACTTTTTGCTGTCTAATTGGAAATAAGAGTATCATAGACTTTCCTTCTCTGAGCTGGCTTTGAACCATGATCCACTATCTGTTGAAAAAAAGTCCTCGCTTTAAGAGAATCAGATTGGAAATGCCTTAAGCCGAGGCATGGAGCATGCTTTAAGCAAAATGAACTGCAAGGTATGGACACAAGAGGTTTTTCTTTGTTGTTGTTTTTAATGTACCATGTGATTTTTTTTGTTTCTTTTGTATGTTCTTCCCCTTATGGTATATCCCTTGTTGTTACTGTATTTAATTTTGTGCCCTGCATCTTATATATACATTTATCTAATTTGGGGAGGGGAAGGGGAATAACAAAATGTTGAAACAAGGACACAGGATGACCTATTGCAACAATGAGACTCAAAAGACACTATGTTGGACATGATCTTTACAACTTCAATGGGAGGGGGCGTAGTGGAGGAGGTGGGGAAGGGAAGGGGTAATAGAAAAATACAAAGGAGGGGTAAAAATGTTCCACAAGAAATGTACTCATTTCCTTACTCATGTAACTGTAACCTATCTGTACAGCATCTTTACAATAAAATACTTAAAAAAAGAGAGAGACTGCTGTGGAAAAATGCATGGTTTGGCTGATAGTTCATGAGGAATGGAGCAGGCTTGCATGATGTAGGAGATAGGCAGTCAGGGAACAAGATATTCTGAGACAGGATTCAGAGGGCTTGGCTATCTTGGTCATTCTCAGGCTCTTGGTAAGAAAGAAAGGAAGCTGATTCTTATAACCCAGATGCTTTCTGGGCCTTTAAAGAATTAGCCAATGAGGGAGGGACATTCCATAGAAATTTCAGGAACTAGGTTTTAAACTTATTTTTTTTTGGCAACAGTATTTTCTTTCATTCTCAGACTCTATAAGAGAGAGAGAGAGAGAGGCAGAGAGAGAGACAGAGACAGAGAGAGGAGAGAGAGAAAGAGAGAGGGGAAAGGGGAGGGAGGGAGAGGGATAGACAGAGAGAGAAGGGGAAGGGAGGGAGGGAGAGGGAGAGAGAGAGGAGAGAGAAAAGGGAGGGAGCAGGATGGGTGAGAGGAGAGAGCAGAGAAAAGAGAGAGGGAGGGAGAGAGGAGAGAGGAGAGGGGGAGGGAAGGAAAGGGAGAGAGAAAGATAGGAGAGGAGGAGGGAAGGAAGGAGAGGGAGAGGAGGGGAGACCAGGAGAAAGGATGCAGCCTGGTCAGGACTAGAAAGGAGCCTGCAGAAAACTTTAGAGACTTCTTCAACCAAAAGAGTTAGTGAGACAGTACAGAGGCTTCCTCAAAATGAGGATTTATTTAAAAATGGTTGGTTTCAGTTCCAGCTCCCTTCAGGAAATCCTAGATATATTAGGATATATGAGGCAGGACCCAACCCCTGGATCCCTGCCAAGAGAAGGACTTATCCCCCAGCATCCAAGGCTAAATCTGAATATGTATATTTCATTTCTGTCAGTTCTGCTAGGGGAAAACTAGAGACAAGGCAGAATGGCCCAAATTATACATAACTCTGTTTTTTTTTCCTATCATATATATTTTATATAAAATCAGACTGAAGAAGCTGGTGATGATTCGTGGTCTTAATAAGCTTTCTAAGGGATAAATCAGTGCTAGCCCGAGCTTCTTTGTTCAGGGAGACCTCACTCACCTGCCAAATACTCTCTGCTGATACTGCATCCACCCAGGGCGAGGGAAGTCTGGAGTGATGTTTTTATCCAACTTCAGGGTCCACTTAACCCACGGTATTTCCTGTCTCATCTGCTCTTGAAATTTCTGTTCCCATTTGTAGCCATTTTTAACTGGCATGTTCCTCTGAAGCTGCAGTCCAATGTCCAGCTGGTACTTTTCGCTTCCTCTGGTCCCAGCCTGACTCCGATTCAGCTTAGTTTCGATTTCCTGGTTTTAACTTTCGTTTTTGAAGCAGAGCACAACACTTCTTGTGTTGGAAGATAGAGGGCAGCAGAGTTTTTTTACTTTTTAAAATTCACTTTATTTTATTGTAAAGATGCTGTACAGAAGGTTACAGTTACATGAGTAAGGTAATGAGTACATTTCTTGTGGAACATTGTTACCCCCCTACTATCCTTTTCCCTCCCCCATCATACCCCCTCCCCCGCCCCCTAAGTTGTAAAGTTCATTTCCAACATAGTGTCTTGCTAGTCTCATTGTTACACTGGGTCCTCCTGTGTCCTTGTTTCAGCATTTTGTTACTCCCCTTCCCCACCCCAAATAACATAAATGTATATACAAGATGCAGGGCACCAGAATCAAATATAGTTACAATAGGCGTTATACCACAAGGGGAAGGAAGAACATACAAAAGAAACAAACAAAATCACGTAGTACATTAAAAACAACAACAACAAAGAAAACTTCTTGTGTACATATCTTGGGTTCATTTCGCTTAGCATCATCTTATATGGTCATAAGTACATAGCTTTTGAGCTTTTCTGCTTTTCTGATAAGATTGTCTTAGCCATATACTAATTATTGCAAATAAGGGAAACCATGGGACCTATATTTCTTTGGGTCTGGCTTACTTCACTTAATATGATTTTTTCCCAAGTTTTCCATTTCCTAACAAATGAGGCAGTGTCATTCTTCTGATAGAAGCACAGAATTCCATTGTATATGTAACTCTGGCATGAGATATATCCTTAGCTCCTGAATGAGTAGTTCAAGCAACAGAATGTTTGCCTCTCAAATAGAAAGCACTAAGTTTGATCCCTGCTTAGATGTTTTACCTTTATGAGCAGCATTTTTCTCACTTTATAGTAAGCACGACACTATTTTTAGGAGTTCCAGGTTATTTGCATGCCCTCCCAGATGCTCACACCCTACCAGCTCTTGATGGGCTTTTTCTTTCTTTCTTTCTTTTTTTCCTTTTTTTTTTTTTTGTATTTTTCAGCTAATCACAAGGACAGCTTGGTGGGGGGGGTGGTCTTGTGTCTTGCTCCAGGCAGCACATTACTACAGGTGATACTTGAATCCAGTTCTATATGACTCCCAAATTAGCCATGTTTCCAGCCATTTCCTTCCCGGAGAAGCCAGAAATGGTATTTCGGGTCCCCAAGGAGCCATGTTGAAGCCCTGATTTAATGGTTTAATATAGGGGAGATTTCTTCTTCTTCTTCTTCTTCTTCTTCTTCTTCTTCTTCTTCTTCTTCTTCTTCTTCTTCTTCTTCTTCTTCTTCTTCTCCTTCT